GGGATGGGGGTGTTTGACCGTAGGAGGAACAACGCTGCCCAACCCAAAGGAGGTTCCAGTGTAATTTTTCGTCTTGACAATGCGAAAGTAACATAATTATGTTTCAAAAAAGACATTGGTGATCTTGATTCTCAAAATTTAACAAGTTGAATTGAAAGAGAATTAATTGCGGGGAAGCCCAATAAACAGCTGGGGGACTCATTTTCTATGTTGTTGTTGTGTTGCTTTTGCCTCTGTTTCCGCATCTCGTTTTTGTGATTTTGGAAGGTGTTGTTAATTGATGCAGTTGGGTAGCTTCGTGGATTTGTTCGTGAAAAGAATTCAGACTGGATGGTGCTTTCAGAGCTATCGAGGGATTGGAATTTCGTGTTGTAGTTTTTCTTTTTGACTGGACTCTCTTCCTTTTCTTCTACTTAAAAACCTCTCATCACATACGACCCTCTTTTTCCTCTTCTTGTATTCCTTATTCTTAACCATGTTCAAAAGATAATAGTGATTATTATTTGTGGTTGCTGGCTGGAGAAGATTTCTATTTATATACTCTTTCACAATAGCGGCAATGTCGAACTGAGAGATGGGTTGGCTGGTGTCTCTACCGATGGACTCCAAGAACTGAATTAGGGGTAGCTGGGGGACTCATTTTCTATGTTGTTGTTGTGCTGCTTTTGCCTCTGTTTTTGCATCTAGTTTTTGTGATTTGGAAGGTGTTGTTAATTGATGCCATTGGGTAGCTGCGTGGATTTGTCCGTGAAAAGAATTCAGATTGTATGGTGCTTTCAGAGCTATCGAGGGATTGCAATTTCGTGTTGTAGTTTTTGTTTTTCGACTGGACTCTCCCTTCCTTTTCTTCTACTTAAAAAAGTTTGTTTCATTAAAAAAAAAAAGGATGGAAGTGAGAAAACGTTGGAGCCTTTCATGTGGGTGGAGGACTATACTGAAATTGGATATGGAGAAGATTTCTATTTATATACTCTTTCACAATAGCGGCAATGTCGAACTGAGAGATGGGTTGGCTGGTGTCTCTACCGATGGACTCCAAGAACTGAATTAGGGGTAGCTGGGGGACTCATTTTCTATGTTGTTGTTGTGCTGCTTTTGCCTCTGTTTTTGCATCTAGTTTTTGTGATTTGGAAGGTGTTGTTAATTGATGCCATTGGGTAGCTGCGTGGATTTGTCCGTGAAAAGAATTCAGATTGTATGGTGCTTTCAGAGCTATCGAGGGATTGCAATTTCGTGTTGTAGTTTTTGTTTTTCGACTGGACTCTCCCTTCCTTTTCTTCTACTTAAAAAAGTTTGTTTCATTAAAAAAAAAAAGGATGGAAGTGAGAAAACGTTGGAGCCTTTCATGTGGGTGGAGGACTATACTGAAATTGGATATGGATGGAATCAAGAGCAGCAATATCAACAACAAACTTCATTAACAAGAAAAAGAACAACGCTGTCCAACCCAAAGGAGGTTCCAGTGTAACAACGCTGCCCAACCTAAAGGAGGTTCCAGTGTAATTTTTCCTTTTGACAATGCGAAAGTAACATAATTATGTTTCATAAAAGACATTGGTGATCTTGATTCTCAAAATTTAACAAGTTGAATTGAAAGAGAATTAATTGCGGGGAAGCCCAATAAACAGCTGGGGAACTCATTTTCTATGTTGCTGTTGTGCTGCTTTTGCCTCTGTTTCCACATCTAGTTTTTGTGATTTTGGAAGGTGTTGTTAATTGATGCAGTTGGGTAGCTAGGTGGATTTGTTCGTGAACAGAATTCAGATTGTATGGTGCTTTCAGAGCTATCGAGGGATTGGAATTTCGTGTTGTAGTTTTTTGTTTTTTGACTGGACTCTCTTCCTTTTCTTCTACTTAAAAACCTCTCATCACATACGACCCTCTTTTTCCTCTTCTTATTTTCCTTATTCTTAACCATGTGTAAAAGATAATAGCAATTATTATTTGTGGTTGCTGGCTGGAGAAGATTTCTATTTATATACTCATTCACAAAAGCGGTAATGTCGAACTGAGAGATGGGTTGGCTGGTGTCTCCATCGGTAGAGACACCAGCCAGCCCATCTCTCAGTTTGACATTACCGCTATTGTGAATGAGTATATAAATAGAAATCTCATCCGGCCTGCAACCACAAATATTAATCACTATTATCTTTTGAACATGGTAAGAATAAGGAAAATAAGAAGAGGAAAATGAGGGTCGTATGTGATGAGAGGTTGCGAGCCCTTTTCGGCAAAAAATCATTTAGTCGAGCAATGATTTACAAGTTGCTAGAACCCCACTTGGCTGCAGACAATGGACAAGGTGATTATGAAGATGGCTACTTTTCATGGGGCAATGAAGAAGTTGAAGGAGTTGAAGCTAAAGGACAACAGGAAAAACACAAGAGACTGGTTGTGGAAACGTGTAACGCTAATCCTACAACTAAAAGCTTCTTTGCTGCTGTAATTCCTGAAAACATAAAGCTCATTTATTTGAAGAGGAGTATAATTCAGAATATTTTGAAGCAGGACGTTGACCCGAAAACCATTGAAATCAAAATAGTGGGAAGCTTTGTGAGGACCAAGTCTGATCCTAATGACTATCGTCAGAAACACTCTCACAACCTCCTAGTTGCAGGTAATATACTTTCCAATAAAAGCTTGACATTTAACTCTGTAGTGGATTGAATATAATAGCAAATGTGTATAATATTTCTGCATTCTCTAGGTCTGAAGGTCTCCTCTGGGACTGGTGGTAGTAATAATTCTGTGATAAAGGACGTCCCTACTTGCATGCTTTCTGACGAAGATTTCTCTAAGGTAATCTATTCATGAGAAAGCTTTGTGAATTATCAAATCCCAGTTTCTTGGCTCTCTTAAATGGTCTTTAATAGTGAGTAATGTGCTGATTTCGGTAAAAGTTTTTATTTTCGTCTTACCCTAGATTTTTTTTTTTTTGGAACTATGAAGTAGTTAGGAATTGACTGTTATACAATTTACAAACCTTAGAAAGGTTTTATATATAAAACCAAGATGATACCTACTCCAAAGCTAACATGGAAATCAGTAAGAAGTCACAAAATAGATTTATTGGAGGATCTTCTTCCCAAGTTAGTGGACGTAATTTGTGTGCTGTTTCTGTTGTCGAGTGGAAAGAATAAAGCCACTTGGAGGAGGACACCTCAATTTTTGTCCCTTTTTCCTTTTTCCCAAACTTTGAGACTCGCCTTTGGACCCAAACGTCCAGTGTTAAATTGAGTTTCTAACAAATGAAAATCATGAAAGTGTGGTGTGTTTGTGATTCTTCTAATGGTACTTAATGTTTTCTTTACGTAGCATTCTTCATTTGCCTTTTGCATATAGGTTTAAGTGCTGACGCTTAGCCTCTGACCTCTCTATGCGTTTGAGGCTTGGGCCTCATTAACATTTAAAGGTTAAGTTTTTTTTCGCCCGTGGTAATTTTGGGTCCGGGGTAAAATTTAGAAGGTGCGTTTGAGATTTACAGATATGATTGGTTGCTTTGGATATGGTCAAAGTTACATAGAGAGAGCAGTGAAGTCATGGATGTTACATATTGCTCCTCCGTTTTTTTTTTTCCTTTTCTTTTCTTTTCTTTTCTTTTTCTTTTTCTTCTGTGTTCGTTTTTCTTCTTCCTTTTTTTTTTTTTTTCATGCTTCCATTTAACTTTGAGATCTCTTTGTCTGCACACCATCTAATGTCATGGCAATGGGTTCAGGAAGAATGTGAGGATTTGCGTCAAAGAGTAAAAGATGGTATGCTCGAAAGACCTAAAGTGGTAATTATTTTTGAACCCAATATCATCTTTTTTTTTCCTCTTTCATATAAATCATGTATTCGTGTGTACAAGGACATTAGAAGCATCAGAAATAGAAAAGAAATTTCTAATAACCTTAATCTTCTGACTAAGAGATGAAACTGTAAAGAGAAAGGAGTTTTTTGTTGAAACCCATGCGTTCAAATTCTAAATGTTCTTGTTAACCTTTATAGGAGGAGCTCCAACATAAGGCCCGTATCTTGCACGAGGATATAACAAAGCATGTATGTATTTCTTTATTGAATATGAAAGAAAATGTGGTCTTTTACATCTTCACATGTAAACAGATGTTATTTTCAGACATATGAAATGTCTGAAATTAGTGTCCTCCATGTGAACCTGTCTTCTGATACATTCATGGGGTGTTTGGTATGAGGATTCGTGCCATGGTTCGAATCATGATTCGTGGCTCGTTATAGTGTTTTCTCTCACAAAAAACAAACGTAAACTGAGAATAGTTCTGACTCAATGAACCAAACGTCCACCCAATAATCCACCAACTGTTATGCTCATTAAAGTCATTTGAATGTCAATTGTGACTCTTTCTCCATCGTGGAGTGGATATCTTTCAGTGGCTTGCAAGAGAACTAGCTTTGCTTCAGAATCTAATCGATTGAGCCAATGAAAAAGGATGGTGAAAAGAATATCCTTTCCATGCAGCTATTATAGATTGTATGCTTTATTTGAGTGCTTACCTCTGATTTTTATCCCCCTTATTTTTTCCCCTCTTTTGGGAAAGATGTCCATTTTTAGTCTTACAAGACATCAACACGATTTTTTTAACTGATACAGGTGGTGTTTCATATAAATTCTCTCTGGAAAATAATTTTTTATTTTTTGTGGACCATAACGTTTATCTTCCAAAAACGCTGTTCGAGTACCTGGAAAGAAAGGAACTATTTGAGAAATCAGATCAACAATCAAGGCTATTGCGCGAGGTCCCACAAATAATTGCAGAAGAAATAGAGGTTGAAGCTACACCAGAGTGTCGCCAGGAGGAAATAAAACAAAGAAAGGATGATTCCCCGGGACCAATCATTGGCAAACCTGTGGAAGCTCCCATTTCCGATACTAGCGATGATGAATTTGAATTAACTTGGACATTAGATATTGAAGGTATCTGTTCAGTAATTACTCATCTTTATTTTCATCAAATCAACGTCAAAAGTCTTTTAATATGATTTTTCACTCTGCTGCGTTCTCTCACTTGTTTGTATGTGCATATATTTTGTGAGTTCTTACCCTAGTTTTGAAGTGTAACCGACTAAAGAAATTGTGCGGCAGACTTGGTCTACTTTGTATCTTTTTGAAAAAATCTAAGCACTTTTTTATTTTATTTTATTTTGAGCCTACTTGTTTTGAACTAGATGCTGCGAATTTATCTATTATTTAGTCAGTGTTTCCTAATGTGTGGTGTTGATGTTTTCCATAATTTGACTTAGTAGTTTGATTCTGTTAATGCTTTTCAAATTATTGGCAATTTCTTTAAATAAAAATTTGATCATCAGTTTTATTTGTTTATTTGTTCAATTTTTTGGTTTTAGAATCTGGGCGCGGTGGTTCAGTTCAAGAATCACAACAGCAGCTGACAAAATCCATAAACGAGAACCGCGGGGAGAGTGAAGCACAAAAAGAGAATGTAAGAGAAAGTATGCCATTGCAGGGGGTAATGGAGCTGCAAGTAATTGATTTGCGCGACGACGATGAGGAAAGTGAACCACCATCTCAGAAAGAGCAGACTTCCGGTGACAAGTTAGAAAGCCTGACATGGCATTATCTGGATCCCCAGGGAGAGATTCAAGGTCCTTTTGCTATAACATTGCTAAAGCGTTGGAGCGACGCGACTACTTTCCTCCAGATTTTCAGATTTGGAAAACAGGTAAGAGCCCCATTGAAGCTGTGTATTTGAAGGACATTCTAAACCGGGTCTTTCCAAGTTAGTTTGAAAGTAACCGGACTTTTGTTGGGAACATATGCAGCGTACCTTAAGATTTGTTTTCCTTGAGAAAATAACATGAATTTTGTAAGAAAATAATGCCATCGGATATTTTGTCTAGATAGTTTTGTTTTAAGGTAGTTTCTCCCGTGTTTTCTTTTTTTTAGGAACT